TCACCATGTGTTGATAGATGCGTGCATAGAAGATCAAAATAGTGGCCAATGGATTCTTAAATATCATAATATAAAGATATTTTTGCATTCAAGGAATATGTTAAGACTGGAAAGTTGACTTTAGGCCAATAAAGCATAAGAATATCAGGATTTTATGACCCCTACACAACTTGAGCTTGGTCTGAAAAGTTTGCTTGAACAGTGTGAGTCTTGTAATAGTGTGGATATTTGAAATTAAAAACACAATGTTCAATCAACTAGAGATTTGAAAGCAGATGACATTATTTCTCTAGACCAAAGGGTTAAGAATCAAGGAACAATTTTCAGAGTGATGGTGACATTTAAAGGGACAGTTCAATTCTGTCAAAATGCTCTCACCCAACCTCTTGTTCCAAAGTTGTTTGTAGGACTGTGTCAATGTTGCCATGTCAAATTGCAGGATTTACAATGTTGAGTTTGTATTTATCATTTGCTTGTGTTTTTGAAGCTTCCCAGGTAGCAAAGATTTCTGGCCCAGAATTGGCATAAATTTGGCACAGCAAGCATTCATCCGGCACTGGCGTACAGCATGGCCCTGATTTGGCAGAGGTGGCATCGTCTTTAAGGTGGCACACAATAATTAGGCCAGATATAAATTGTAGAATTTGGCCTAGATGTTAATAATTCATTTGTGGCCCATGTAAGCTTGGCCAACCTTGACCCAAATTTAAAAAACCTTGTTATTAGTTTCAAATAAAAATAAATCTATTCTATCAATCAGGTCACTTCAAGACAAAGCACGCCTATAGTGCACCTAAAGCACAATGCTTCATGAGTTTATCAGTTTCAATTGCAGGCGTGACACACCAACGTTTCTGGCCCAGTTCAGGTTCAGTTATGGGTTATTAATTTGGCTGAGACTTGGCCCAGATATGGTCCACGTTTGGCCCTTGTCTGGAAGCCAGACTTGGTCCAGTGATGTACCGTAATTCACTGCGGCATGTGGGCCAAGCAAAAGCTGATTGTGTGGGCCAGAGCTGTGACATAGTGACAGATATTTTGCTATTTTGTGGGTTGTGACTGTATGAGGATTTTACAAGCATTCAGCTATAAGAAAAACCGTTAGTAACTTTAATAACGATTTATTTTATTGAATTATTATTTTGTATTGAGTCACTTTACCTGAATACTGTTAGACTCAGAAATCAATAAAACACTGAATATTTCAATTGTAGCTTTTTCTTTATCGTATTTATTCTTTTGATTTGATGATTATAATTTATATATTCGAAACGACAGCAACACCAAATCTCCAAAAATGCTAATTTATTAAATTAAAAAGACTGACTCAAAGTGTATAACGTTTCAAGCACACGACTCTTCCTTAGACAATGTTCATCACAGTAAGGTGCTCCTTTTTGTACACTTCCAGATCACACATTCTGCTATTATCTCACAACAAGAAAAAAAACAAACATTAGAAATTATCCAACTTAGATACAGTATCTAAAATAAAAATACAGAAACAAAACATAATCTTACATCACAAATTTATATATATATATATATATATATATATATATATATATATATATATATATATATATATATATATATATATATATATAACAAGAAAATACAACAAAATAATACAACAGAATATAGGCAAAAAAAAAAAAAAAACTTTACCCAAACACCTAATTAAACTTCAAAGAATTATTAAAGAAAAGGACGAATGTCAAACTCCTCATTTAAACTTCTTGGAAACAATGTATGGAGAGTGGAAATGTAAGAGGCTTCACGTTTGTAATTTGTTACGATCTCCCCTCCAACATGGACACTTCACAACTTCAATTCCTGTTGTTACACGCTTTGTGTCAGCCTTTTAAAATTTGAATTTACTAAGTTTGCATATTTGGAGCTTTTGTGTTGTTGCCTTTTTGAATAAATATTTTGTACTTTTTGCGCTTTGGCTGAGCACCTAGATAAAAGTGATGTGCATGCTTTTGTCCATTTTTTCATTATTATATTTTATGCATTTGCACTCCCCTGCAGAATCATCTCAATCATTTTAAAATTATAAACTCCTTTTTATATAGCGATATTCAATTCATGAAATTTTATTAATATCGCAGAATAACAAACATTCACAATGTTAGATTTTTCCAATATCACACAGCCCCAGTTGTTTGTGCTTCTTTCTTCTGTTGAACACAAGAAGATATACATTATTGAAGAATGTTGAAAAGCCAGCCATGCTAGTTTACAACATTCTTCAGAATATCTTGTTTTATGTTCAGCGAAAGAAAGAAATGAATAAAAGTTACCACTTAAGTGTAAGTAAATGCTGAGGATTTTTTTCGACAACTATTGTTTTAAGTGATTGATTAGGAGAGACCCAGATGACTATTTAAAATGCTTTCATCCGAGTTTGCTTCTTTGGATCTAATAATAGTTAAACTAAGAGAAGATGAATTGGTCTTTGCAGCAATTAAAAATGGCAGTGAGGAAACGTTGCTCCCTTCACCTGTGACATTAATGATGTTTGATGTGGTTGCAGTAAAAACTACAGAGCACTCAATAATTCATATAGTGCTTCAAAACTTCAGGATTACCAGAGAAAAGCCTTTCAGAGGATAGGCTTTACAGTATGTGTCTTGGAAAGGTAGCATCATGGAGAACTGTGATTCAAACAAAGGACCTATCAAGGACAAAGCTTTTGAACACATGTTTTCAATAGGAGAGTGAAAACGCAATACATTCTGGCAGCTTTTGAGTTTATACCAATTCATGGGTATTAAATTTTGAGTTCATTTGGATTGTAATTGTAGAAAAATTTGAAAAAAACTTTGATAAAAAAAAAAATGTATTTAAAATATTTAACAAATTATTTAAATGATTAAGTGTATTATACGATAGGTGCGATACGGTTGAATTGGGTAGGCTAAATTGACCGTAGTGTATGAGTGTGGGTGTGAATGTGAGTGTGGATGTTTCCCAGAGATGGGTTGCGGCTGGAAGGGCATCCGCTGCGTAAAAAGTTGGTGGTTAATTCCGCTGTGGCGACCCCGGATTAATAAAAGGACTAAGCCGACAAGAAAATGAATGAAGGAATGAATGAATATTCTAAACATCGAGGATCCTTATACGTGTTTTCATTTATACCTTTCTTTTCTTACTTTCTTTCTTGTCATAATTTATTTATTTACAAACAGCAATAATGTTGACATAGAGTATAATTTTATTGAAATTGTATTTCATCCTCATTATTATAGAAATCTGGTAGGCACTGGGCATAATAATAGCCAGAGTTGGATTTAACCAATAGACAAGGTAAGCAGCCGCCCAAGGAAATCAGGAGGCCCCCAATACCTAGAAGTTTCAATAAATAATATGTAACATAGTTTTTATCAAATATTATGGTGAGGGTTTAACAAATAAAATTATGTAATTATTAAGTCTGTGCAAATGTGCCCCCCTCCCCCAATCATGGATCAATCCAGCAATAACATCAGATAAAGATTTTGATTTAAAAACAACAACAAAAAAAGTTTATTTATTATTTTTAGGTTCAGTCATTTTTAGTCATTTTAAGAATAATTTCATTTTAAATGAAGAGATTACATTAGGATAACATTTTTGAATCAAGATAGATTTGCTTGCAGATCACTAAATCTGCCCCTGAACTTTTTCGACAATATTTAAAACATTTTAAATAGTTGACAATTTTTTTCTCTAGGTTTAACATGGAGCAAGTATTCAGAGAAAATATTTTCTGGAGCATTGGAAGATAAATGAATTAAAATTATGTAATTACAATTATGTGGGTGTATTGTTATGGCTATCTGAATTATCTTGTATGTGAGAAAATGGTCTCTGTGTGAGTGGTAGTTTTTATGTGGCAAAAAGAAAAAAAGGAGAGAAAAAGCAAATAATTTTTTTTCATTGACCTTTTCCAAGAACTTAATGGTAATGAATAAGTTTGGGAGATCTTTAGTATTTTCTATGTCATTAAGAATAACAACAATGGTCAATATATGATATTTTGATTATCTTTTTTGACAGACATTTTTGTCATCTGATGCACTGTGTAACTTTTTTAAATTGATACACTATGGCTAATATTTATGATTATTACGAAATAATTAACATAGAACCATAATTTTCCACAATATAAATTACAACAAACCAAGCATACTTTATTTATTTATTTGTAATTTTTAACTAGATTACCTTGAACATGTATGATCATTATTTATGAACAGTCAATAGATTTAAAATGCTTGTTTTATGGTATATATTCTGAAGCTGCTCACTCACAAAAAGAGTTTGTACAGCTGTTTATACATATGAACAAAAATATAATAAAACTGTCTCTAGAATATATTGTGCCAACAGAGATTATGCTGTTTTTTTTTTATTTAAACAGCAACATACCATTTAAACAATAATACAAAGTAAATACCATAATATAAACAAAAGAATAATTACATAATCAAAATTAAATAGAAACACAACTTTAATATAAAAACCTTTATAATGACAATATAACTAAGGGATTATTCAACCTACCCAACTGACAGCAAGTATATTATTCAACTAACTTAACATTGCAACTCTAATTGTATTTTGACATTTCTTGCTATTAATATACTGGAGCGAGTCTATATATATAAATGAAAATCTATAATAGAAACCTTTAAACAGGGTTTAGAATAATTAAATCTGCATTTATGGATATGAAACTTACCAAGTAAAATAACAAAATTCATTATAAATTCTACAGATATATTGTTTGAGAGAAAATAAAATATAACATCTTTGGGGGTCAAATTACATCTAAAACCTATTTATTTATTTATTTTTTACCGGAAATACAAAGTCATCCCAAAACTTCTTGAGATCTCTGCACTTGAACTCCAGAGATCCAGAAAGAGAATGAGAGCCTTCAGGTAGAGACTGAAATGAGGAGGCGTGTCTACAGCGCGTGGGCGTGGCTACACGCTCTCATTCGAAAAGCCACTATTATAGAGACTTAAAGAGGACTCACAGGTGTACAGTAGTACGTGAGTCACGCAGCGCTGCCGTTTGCAGAGAGGCGATTAAATGTTTACTATTAAGTCAGCGTGAGGAAAAGGAGCATTCTTGCGCGTTTGGAGTCACATTTGGGAGCGTGTTTTTTTCAGACTACAGCCATGTGATGGCATATGAGTCGAGTGTAATGTAACAATCCCCACCGACGCTTGTGCAGTGCTTGACGCTCAGTGACATGACATGGACGGCGGAGTGTCTCACTGAGAGCTGATGAACTGAGGAACGATGTCGGACCAGGTAAAATCTTCGCTTTCACGTCTTGTGGGTGTGTGTGTTGTGTGTGGGCTGTTATAGGGTCCTTCACGGGTTTGGGATGCTCGCCGGTGTGTACACACCCTCTCTTCTTCTGCAGTCTTTGTGTTGACTTTGTTTCTATAGGAGTGTTTGTGTTTTGTAAACATTCCTGTGCTTAAACAATACTAATATTTCAATCATGCTTCTTTGTAATGAGAAAATATAAAAATAAATAGCTGTGATGATCCTGCAAATCACTGTAACAATGTTATTATTGTACTAATTCTGATTCATTTTTCATCAGAATAATAATTTGCATGATACATCAATATTAGTTATTCAAATTTACTGTTATTTAAAGCCTGGTCATTGGCTGCCTCACCCCAAGCATCATATCACATCTCATTGTCACTATCCCACACTATCAGTCTATGATTAATTAATTACCTCCTTTCAATCAGTATAATTGGCTGTCAATGTGTGTCTTGCATGTCTGACACCGGATCAGGCGTACAAGGTCTCCAGCACACCTACAGTGCCGTGGCTAGATTAATTGCAATATTAATATTGATGCCAGTCGCCCTTGCAAGCAAACTCAGTAAACAGTTTACACTAAGCGCTCTCTTGGCAGTTTTACTTGATACAAGATAGATGGGCGAAGCACTCAGCAGCCATGAGGCTATGAAAACTCATTATGTTACTTATCTTTTTTTTTTCTGTCTGTCAAGATGTTTACTCCACTCTTAAAAGCAAGTGGCGATTGTTTATATGATTGGACGCTCTTCTCGTTGATTTGACCCACTTTTGAGTAAACAACCCAAAGTTTTTCCTTGCGCTTGGATTGTTTTTTATGATTCAGATTTGATTGCTGGTATGGTATAGTGTTTCAGGGATGCACACTGTGGGCACTTTCTAGTTTAGTGGTCAAAATAGCATTGAAACCTGAGTATATGAGTTAAATTATTATTTGAACGATTATAAATAGGGTTATAAATGATTGTATGAATTAAAACATGGGGTGAATACATTTTGTATATTTGTATTTTTAATTAAAAATGCTTCAATTGAGGACAAGGCAACAAGAATTGGGAAAGTTCCCAGAAAACAGGGACATGTGTTCACACTATCATATGGAGTGTCATTGTTCTTGGCTTTTGGTTTCATATGGGTGAAGATCCTTGTCTTTGGTGTCATCTGATGTTTTTTTTACTTGTCGTTGTATTTCACAGGGTTATGGCTTAACTCTCTCAGCTGCACCCCCTCTTCGCAGGGGCAGCACCCCACTACCAATCAAGCATCAGCTGAGGCGAGAGGAGGCTGTGTCCGAGGAATACGATTGGACACCAGGACTCAACGAATCTGCGACTCCACAAATCAGCGTCACCAATATTCAAGATTCTCCAAGCCTAAAACCGCCCCAACAGAAGTACCACGGACCACTTCGGATAGTACTCCTGGGTCAAAACGGAGTGGGCAAATCCTCTCTGGCACTTTGCCTAGCTGGATTGTCAGACAGATCACTCTCTATAGACTCTGAAACCCAAGCAGCCGGTAAAGATTATATTTTGTACAGTCTTCTTGTGCTCAGCATCAAGCATCAGGATGCCAAGGACTGTACTATTTTTAGATTTGCTTTGGATGAAACACACTTATCACCTCACAGACACCCGAGATCACTAGTGTATGGTTCTCAGAATTTGATTGGAAAAAGCGAAATGGGTTGCCGTGAAGGCATCCATCTTTTTTTCAGGTCTTTCATCATCTTGTGTCTTAATGAGGCGGGAGAGAACCAGCAGAGTACTGCCTCTGCACAGACACTTTCAGCACAAGCAGAGCATGTCATTTACTAGGGGATAAAGAGCCATCAGACACGCAGACAGTTTTATTTTTCTCTTACCTGAGTCGAGTGTCCTTGTGCATCAGTTCTGCTAAATTATTGCCACACTATCTCTCAAGTCCTTATCTTTAATAACTTCTTTTGTATTCGTGCCACAGATATATTATGATACATTTGATCCCGTGAAATTGCCAGTTTCAGCTTAGTTGAAGGAGTAAAATCAGATGCTAATTGAACATTAGTGATTCATTTTATGCTCAAGTGTCAGTTTTTTAAAAGATATATTTGTGTGTGTTGTAGATGAGGGTTACCCACGACGAGTGACCGTGGATGATGAGGACAGCTCAATTTTAGTATATGACAACTGGAAACAGGTGAGTCTAACATGCTCACAAATGTGGCTGTGGTTCGTTTCTTTATTTTCGAATGGCTTCTAGAATTTGTCAATGATTGCAAGGTGGGTGTTTGCTCCTTAAATCTTCTGGGTGTCAATTCTGCAATTAAGCAAGCCTCCAGCAGGTTAACTTACTGACTGTGTTGTAAGCTTATTTCAAAGACAATATTTGCTTTATATATGCTTTATAGTTGCTCTAACTGATTTACAGTAATAGAAGGATCAGCATGCAAAATTACTAAATAGAAATAATAATAATGATGGCAGTGGCATGGAGTGCATTAGTGCCTCTCCATTAGTTTTATATGGCGTCATTTATTTAATGGCGTACTATTATATATGTATGGGCAGTATAACACTCATAGCAGTGTGATATGGCTGTATATCGGCACTGGTGGGAGGCGTGCTTTGACAGTATTCAGCCATATTGCACTGCTACGAGTATTCATTAGTTCGACAGCATATTCGTGTATCTAAAATAAGAAAATCAAACACACAGAGTCTAAACACTTTTGGACGAGGAACTACTTTCTTCTGCCATTCGTTCACATTTGCAGCTGACGTCAGAACAGTAGAAACCGTTACTAGTGCACTGTCACTTTAGAGCTAGTATTTGAATGATTCTCTAGCGTAATGTCTAAAGTGAGGTTATACAAAGAGTGGCCAAAACAAGATACATACACTCCTGATATGCAAGTCTTATCTCACACTCCACACACTACAATTATATGGTATAAATGCAGCACTGCAACATACAAAAGAGAGAGTTCGATTCAGAAAATCACTTACCAGTTTAATAATGATTTGATCAGCTGTAGTTAAAAATTGTACTGTTTTTCTCCTCTAAGGGCTTATTATTCGCTCTCTGTCACCATCTTGTGGATGGAAAGCATCAATTGTCTTTGATCTGCTTAATGACAGGCTAATGGCCGCTCCGAATTTATAAATATTTAAAATAGGCTCTATCCTTATAAATAAACAGCATAGTTGCAATCTGAACAACTACATTCTCATCTAAAAATCTTAAAAAGTACTTTATGTTGTTCAACAGCTGTAATATTTGTCAAACTGTAGAGTTTCCTCTGCTTATCATGGGCGGTGTGGGTGGAGTAATAGACAAGGGTGAAGGGTTAAGAGGCTTTACGGGTGCTGTTGTTTGCAGAATATCGCACGGCTATCAGCTAATAAGATTCAAGATCGAGACAGAACCGATGTATAGATATATATACACTTTATTTTACGTTTTGTCAGTTTAGTGATGAATTCGTATGAGTTCAGTTTTACAAAAATATATGATTTTAAAAAGGAGGCATGCCACTCAACCCATCCACTAAACCCAATTATCGTTGGGGATAAGCAAATCGTACTAAATTGTATGAATGAAATCATATGAATTTATACAAATTAGCCTCTAAATCAAAAAGTTGCAGTGAGATAAAATATCACTTTTAATGCACTTTGTTCTCTCTGATTCTGTGATTGGTGGAATGTTCTGCACAGGATAATCTGTAATTTAGTTTTTCTGCATATTATTCCCCCATTAAACTTGAATGTTTAAAAAAATAGGTTGAATTAATTCTACCAGATGGGTTTGACAAAAGCATATTTAATTGATTAACAACCTCAGAGTTGTTTTTGAAGATTTATCATTTTGTTTTAACTATCAGTTTCCCTGTGGAGAAAATGAACAGCATTTTTACTTCTAAACCTTCACTGTTGCATACTGTATTGCAATTGATCCTGCCTTCCCTGCGTACACATTGTGCACATAAGGAGGTGTTGATTCTTGTATTGACTTATTGTCATGACAACATGCATTTCATTTTCTGTTGAACTAAACTCCAAAAGCTTACCTGACATGATTCTTTTGCAGCTTTGCAACTGCTGGTATTTGCGTCAGGAAATGCAAATCTAGTCTTTAAATGGCTCTACTGCAGAATTGGGAAAGCTGCTTTAAAACTGTTGTTAACCAAGCTACAAAATACACATAATTTATTATGTTGTGTCTAATCGTGCCTTATTCTTCCCTTTGTCATTAAAAAGTTTCAGACACAACTACTAGTAAGCTGGTTGATGGACACTCTTTTATTTGAACTACATTTGCTTTATTATTTTAGGTAAATAAGTCATTTAAATTGTGTTACTAATCAGTGCTTATTGGTTGTTAATATCGGATGTTTTTTTTTTTTCTTAAATATTTACAAACATAATTTCTCACAAAAATGTACAATATAGTTCTGATAGTCACACAGAATTAAAATACAATTTTTACTCCTAGTCGTTTTAAGAACACAAAAAATATTTTGAAGAATGTTATTGAGCTTTACTTTGGTTCCCATTATGGTTGTCATTATATTTTATGATTCAAAGATGAAATAAAGGCATACTGTTTTGTAATGATATGAGGATGAGTAATTATTTGACAATTATTTGGTGATTTAAAAATTCATTTATTTTCTTTTGGGCTTAGTCCCTTTATTAATCAGAGGTCACCACACCTGAATGAACCGCCAACTTATCCAGCACATGTTTTTACTCAGTTGACGCCCTTCCAGCTGCAACTCATGACTGGGAAACACCCATACACTTTCATTCACACACATACACTATGGACAATTTAGCTTATTCAATTCACCTATAGCGGCGCCAACTGAACTAGTCGAGGCTCAAGCCAGCGACTTTCTTGCTGTGAGGTGATAGCGCTACTTACTGGGCCACTGCGCCGTCTATCCCTAAAATAAATAAAGTAAATAAAAACATGATATATATTTACATGCAAAGTGATTCACTAAATGAGTCAAACTCCCTAACATGACTGAGCATGAATACAACATATGATTGGCATAAAGTTATATTAATTGTGTATTCACATCCATCATATTAGAGTGGATTTGAAAAAAAGGATAACAGAGACATAAGCAGAAGAGATGCAGAAAGATAAGAGAAATCAGCTCTTGACCCTCCAGCTGAAGCTTGTCTGTTGTTTGTCATTTCTGTTTCCTTTTACTTTAGGGCAAATTGTTTTCAGTTTCCCGTAATTTGTTCCATTTCTCCTGAAAGTAACTACTGGTTTAAAGATCCTTTTACAAGCATTGTGTGTGCACTGACTATAAAACCACCCAGGCCCTGCTTTCCTTGTTATTTCAGAGTGAATTATGACCTCTGCTTTTACACAATAAAAGCCACTCATTTGAGAGTAATCCAAAATGATCTAATGGATCAATTCACTGTGGCTTGCATCATTAAGCCTTTTAGTCACGATTACTGCATTTGCATCCGTGCATTAAAGGATTGTTATTTTTCACATCAATACTATGTACAGTAGATATATTGTCAAATAAAGGATATACAGAAGTGAAAGTATACACTGGCTAAGAGCGTTTTGTACTATTTAAACACGTTCAGTCAGAATTTAAGTTATTTTAACACAGTAACAGTTTACAACAAGGTATTAGTTATTTATTAACATAAACAAGGTGTCACGGTGGCACAATGGATAGCACGATCACCTCACAGTAAGAAGGTCGCTAGTTTAAGCCCCGGCTGGGTCAGTTGGCGTTTCTGTGTGGAGTCTCCATGTTCTCCCTGTGTTTGCGTGGGTTTCTTCCAAGTGCTCTGGTTTCCTCCACAGTCTAAAGACATGAGGTAAAGGTGAATTGAATAAGCTAAATTAGCCATAGTTTATGTGTATGAAAGAGTGTGTATGGGTGTTTTACAGTGTTGGGTTGAGACTGGAAGGGCATCCAACTAAGCCGATAAGAAAATGAATGAATTAACTAACATAAGCAAGTAGTGAACACATATTACAGTATTTATTCATCCTTGTTAATGTTAGTTAATGAGAATAAAGTTGTTCATTGTTCATGTTAACTTAAGTTCAAGATAGAATTTGGATTTTAATAATGCGTTAGTAAACGTTGAACTATGATTAATTATTGCTGTACAAATATTAATTCATGTTGGTTAATATCCATTTACTAATAGAAAGCTTTTTGTAAACTGACTGTTTTAATTAAGGCACAATATAGTGACAGTAAAGACTTTTATTATGTTCTATATAAAAAAAAGTAAAGGTGATATTTTTTTTCATCAAAGAATCCTGTAAAAATATATATAAAAATAATAATAATAAATGTTATCTGAGCACCAAATCAGATGACTTATGTATTGTAGATCTGGAAGATTAGAAAACTGGAGTAATTGCTGCTGTAAATCAACTTTGAGAAAATACATTTCAAAATATAATAAAATACATTTTAATTACAAAATCAAATCAAGTTTAAATCAAGTGTGTGCAGCTTTTCTGAGTATAAGAGACAAAATGTAAACTCATCCGCTCTTGTCCTATGGAAAACCATTCCATGGCTGTAGTGATTTTTTTTTTAAACGATCAAACTGCTGGATCCCAGGACATGAACAAGCCGACAAAGCTGCCAAAACAGCCCTAACAGGAAAGATAAAGAAGGGCAAAATACCACCTTCAGATTAAAAGCCACTAATAAAAGGCTATATTCTAAACAAATGGCAGGCAGAATGGAACCACTCCTCAAAAAAATTTACTTTTTGAAATCCAGCCTAAAATAGAAAGAAAATCCTTTTTTAAAAAAAAAAAAAAACTCAAGACATGATCAGTTTGCCCGAGACCCCCCCTTTTCCCCTGGAAAATATTGTAAGGTCCCCTCAACATTTAATGATATTTTCGCTCGTAAGTTTGCAGTAAGATTGACAAAATGTTGTTTTGAAACAAACGGTATGTTTATTACTAAATCTAGATATGTTTATGCACAAATAATAGCCTAATGTAAAATATAAAAGCAAAACATCAGCAGGTCATTTGTAACTGTAAAACGTGAGCCTTTGGTCTCTGAATTGGCCCCATGTTAGTTGGCAATTAGTTGCCATTTTTTAAAAAAGTTTCTTGTTAGTAGCTGTAACGTCCCTCATCTCATTTTGCGTGTGTGTCCATTATTTTGCCTTGTG